TTATTATTATTAATTATTATTAATTATTATTATTATTATAATTATAATTATTATTATTATTATTATTAATCGACGCCCGAGAAGAGAGGATACGCATATTTATATACTTTTCTTTTTTTTTGTTTAATTCGCGCGTACATTTGTCGAAAGTTCGAAATATCGTTTCGGATTAACGATGGACTTTTTCATTATCTATGTACATATTATAATTCGATAGGTTATTATTATTAATTAATCTACATATTTTACAATTTTTCCTATTCTCTCTATATTTCTATTATATTTAATCCTTTTCTTCTTCTTTTTTTTTTTTGTCTTCCTTTCTCTCTTTTAAAACGCACAAAATCGTCATCGTAGACATCTTGAATCAAACAATACAACAACACTCTCATCGGTAGGCAATGGATCTCTGGCTTTGTATAGTTGCGACAAATTATAAAATATAATTGAACAAAAATAAAAAAATTCTTGAAATATAATAGCAATATTTTTTTAATATTTTGATCTATCATATTATGATTTTTCAAAGATTAATAATAATAATCATCATCATTATTATCATTATCATCATCATCATCATCATCATCATCATCATCATCATCATCATCATCGTTGTGATTTTAACAAAGCAGAGTCAAAGTTACCTCGTTAAAATATCATGTTACCAAACGAATCGTTTTTGTACATAAACGCATTAACGACAAGTTTTTTTGTCAATCATTTGTTAATCGTTACAATTTTCGAATACATTACTACTTACTTACTGTTTACAAATGTAAAACAAAACATTTTCGTCCTTATCGTTTATTCGAATCGGTGTGTGATGTATATGAACTTATTATTTGCGTCTTTATCATAGCCTGTATCGTTCAAGCATACTATAACACTTTTATTTATACTTTAGACACATATTGCATATTTTCTCTTTCCGTTAGAAGAGAATTATTTAATGAAACAATCGATTTCTTTCTTTCTTCTTTCCTTCCTTCCTTTCTTTCTTTAAACAAAATTATTCTTTTCAGGATATGTGCCAAAAATTGCACCACACCGCATACTACACACAACTTTGTTTGATCATTCACATTTTTTTTTTTTTTTTTAAAAACCATTCCCTTCTTTTTCCTTTTTTTTTTTAAATGTTTTCAGTCTCGAGTGAATATTTTTTTGTTCAATTTATTATAGATCTCATCATAACTTCACTCTACATATGTAATTTATATAATATCGTACGCGTATACGCTTTAACGAACGGCCCACGATAGAAAATCACTACTAGTACATCACGTATGTATGTATATATTCGGACTTTCTTTCTTCCTTTCATTTAAAAAAGCTAATCGACTTCCGCCAAGACCATCACCACCACCACCACCACACCCACCACCACCACTACCACTACTATCACACCATCGCACAACCAACAACAACGCACTTGAATATTATCCAATATTTTTCTCTCACTTTGCTTTGCATGAAAGCGCATAGAGGGGATCTCTATCCATTTCTCTCTCTCTTTATCACTCTCTTTCTCTCTCTTTCATGCTTGATTTGTTGGGGTACATCATCTCGTTCTCTCTGGCTATCTTTGCTCTGTATTTCATATATACATGCTCCCATGCATAGATAAAAACAGCAACACATACATACGATGTTTTTTCTCTCTTTCCATTCTCCTATAAATAAAAAACAACAAAAAAATAATAATAGTAATAATAAAAAAAAAAGGATGTTTACATATAGATAAAGCAGCTTCTGACAAAACGCTCATTATAGAAAGATTTAGCAAGCGCGTGTTGTGTTTTTCTCTTCTTTAATAGTACCCCCTTTTTTATTTTTTCATTTAGATTCTTACTCGTTCTTTCTTTCTTTATTTATTTATTTCTTTATTTATTTCTCATATTAATTCATTCATCCCTTTATCCTTTCTTCCCATACTTATTTTCATTTGAAAAATTTCTAATTCTCTATTTCTCCTGTTGTCACCGTACAACACCAAACGACACTGCAATTTTCACTTGCTGACAAATGAGAAGCCTATCGCTGTTGACCGTGTAGGAACGTAGCTTGTCGACGATTACTGCAAGCAGCATCACCTCGACGTCGCTGTTGATGCTGATGCTGTTGATGATCCTGTTGATGATTATGATTCTGCTATTGCTGTTGTTGTTGTTGTTGCTGGTTCACTTGTTGTGTGGAACGCTTGCCCGCCTGACCACCAGGAGGGGTGGGATCGTTGCCGTCGCATTGGCGCTTCCAAAACAAAAGACACACAAAACAGCGACATTAGCGCGCCACCGTCCTCATCGTAATTGACCAAATATTATCTCAACAATACTTTCCGCTTAAAACTACCCTTTTCATTTGTTCCTTCCTTTATTTCTAATTTATAGAGGGTAGGAGTCGGACTTTAATGTCTGCCCTCTATAAATTTTGTTATTTCTCTCGCTATCTCTCTCTCTCTGTTTCTTTATATATTTTCCATTTTACAAAACTATATTTTTATTATTTTTGTTCTCTCCCTATCTCATTCCTTTTTTTTCTTTTTTTTTTTTTTTTACTTTTATCTCCTCCATCACGATCCACTCATCGGTTCTTCCACGAATCCAAAAATGAAAAATACATTAAACTGTTTCTTTTATTTTTGGAAACCAATGAGGGGGATATAAACGTAACTTCGGAGAGAAAGAGCTTAAAAAAAAAAGGTCGACGGAGAGGGGATGATGATGATGATGATGGAAATAGGAGAAGACTTTGAAATATGTTTGTTCGTACGCGGTGATGTTGTTTGCGAAAGCAAGAGAAGAGAGATGATAAAAAGAAAATGAACGGAAGGATTATAAATTGGGCAGCAAGTAGCGGAAAGATTCTTTTCTTCTTTTTTGTTTTTTTTTGTTTCTTTTTTTTTTTTTAACGACTACATATTTCTTTCATTTTGATTTGTTTGTTTGTTTTTTTTTTTGTATAAATTCTTTTGTGCATTCTTTTTATTATTGTTTTTATTTTTATTCTCCCCACTCTCTATATATCGGTTTGTCACGGCCATTGTCCTTTACCGTGGCACAGGTTTATATTCGCCGCCTCTTTGCCTAATTTTGCGATCTACAATTAGTGTCTTAGCTTTCGGTTACCTGAAAAAAGTCAATGAAACAACAAATAAAGCGGAATTTCGACAAGATCCAGATCCGGCTTTGGAAAATCTAGAATCTACTATTACTTAATCTTTTTTATAATGTTTTTTTTTTTTTTTAAATATATATATATATGTAAAATATATTATATAAAATATATATATAAAACTGTACCCCAAATTTTGTTACCGATCGAATATTGTGCTTCAAGTGATTCTTTTTTCATTGTTTTTAATCAAATCATAAAAGCCTGCTTGAAAAACACGTTCAGGCTAACTGCTCGATTATTTTTAACAAAAATACAATGAATCAACTATATTAATAACAAGTTTACTATGTATACGTATATACTTATATTTATATGTACAGATATATTACCGACGATAAGTAATAAATAAAATAATAACCATCCCAGTGCACCCAATAAACAGGCAATAGAGGCGTCGTTTCTCATTTGGACAGAAACGTGTATTTAAAATTAATTTGAAATTAATTTGAAATTAAATTTTTGTTTATAATATATATGTATGTATGTATGTAAATGTAAATATATATAAATATAATAATTGTAGATTACATAAAAAGAAAATTTACGTAAGGCAACGAACTCTTTCCAAATGTTAAACAGCACTTTTCCTTTACCCATTCTTTTTTTTGTTCTGTTTTTCTATTTCTTTGTTAAATTTTCTTTTTATTATATTATGTTCACCAACATATAAAAGAATGGGAGAAAGGATAGTAGGAAAAATCCATGCCACGGTACAAAGATGCTAATTTTATGTTGAAATATTAAACCTTGTGAAATAATTTTGATAAAAAAAAAAAAGAAATAAAAATATTTACATATTTGTTTGTTTATTATTTTTTCTTTTATCGATTATTTTTCTTAACACATTCGCTCTCAAACATCTTTTAATCATATTTACTTATTTATTGCAATCAAAGAGGATTCAAGTCATGTGTAACTAAACTATAAAAGCACGTTAAAAAAATCAAATGCAATTGTTTTTGTTATTTGTTTTGTTTGTAAGCAACGATTGTGTATGTTAATATGTTAAATGCAAGGATTAATTTTTGAACATTATAGTCCAATACGAACGGAGAATATTGTTTTGCGCGCATGCAAAATTCTAACAAATATTCTATGCATTTCTTTCTTTCTTTCTTTTTTTTTTTTTTTTTTAACATTATATACATGTACGTACTGTATATATTTAATAAACCATTGTAAATTGAGAAAAACTTTTCAGACAAGAATTATTTCAAGATTATTATTATTATTATTATTAAATGTTTTTTTTTTTTTTTTTTTTTTTTTTTTTTATGATAACACTTAATATGATTATCTGAATCAAGATAACGTGACCAAAAATTACAAAGCGAAATTTGAAAAATGTGAGATAAATATAAGTGAAATAATGATAAGACATTGTAAAAAACTTTGTAAGTTGTGCAATAAAAACCTGATTATATATATAGAAAGCGAAATTTTGGAAATGATAAGAAGCTGCTACCAAATATATAAATATACGTAAATACACACATATACATATGTATGTACATTTGAAAGCAAACTTTGATGACTTATTTATTTGATAAAAGCAAACGAAAATTGGATGCAACGCAATAATATTATAACAAACTTGTTGATTTTAAACGATTCCCTGAAATAAGACAAGTCACGTTGAAGCCGATTGTGCAAGCTAAACAAAAGTGAACTTTCCACTGAGCGAACATCACAATCGCAAGAAAATAAATATAAATATATATATATATATGTCATGTGTATGTGTAAGCATGTATTTAGTTAGTGCATTTACGGTTACAGTCAGCGAACCTAAAGTTGCATAAAACGAGACTTGGACATGCTCTTAATCTCACTATTATGCAACTTTCATGCAATTTCTAACTGTAAACATCAAGTGTAACGAGCTCGATATATATACTTTTTTTTAAGATATTTCTATCTCAAATAATAACATTATTTTTCTTTTAACGTTATCACGTAATATAATTAAATAATATTTATATATATATACATATATTTAA